TGTGTGTGTGTGTTTGTTGGGGGTGCATGAACTTCGGTCCACTATGACACAGCCCAGGCAAAAACCCAAGACACACACACACAAACATTTAAAATGTGTGTCAGGCTAAATGACGTGGGTAAACTATAACCTCCAGTTAGTGGCTGTCAACAAATGCACTGATGAAGAATCTTGTTACATTTACTACCCCAGAAAAACCTTTATTCATGCCTTTGCTTCTAAAGACTCACTCTTTAATTTACCTTCTGCCTTCTGCCATGAATAAAGTCGGTTTAGGTAAGTTTACTTTCCCGGAGACTCACACACACATTTACACACATTCCCACAATGCCTCTGACCTCTCAGCTTACCGGAACTGAGTCAGGAACATTGGGGAGGTCAGAGGCTGTAAATTAGGAATTCCACATCTGAACCACACGACTCAGCTATTAGTACTTCATGGAGCGTGAACTTGTGTGCCTTTGCTCTTAAAATGCTCCTCCCAGTTAGTGAGGCTGCTTCTCTTGCACAAGCAGATCCTCTTTCTCTCTCCCCGGGTCCTGTTCATTATGCCAGACTTTCAGATGATAATATCTTCATGTTGGATTAGGTTACCAATATCTGTTAAGTGAAGTAAGCGTTATTTTAACGCATGGTTTCACTGTTCCAAAAACAATACATCTAAATGTGCAGCTGTCAATTTATTAGGCATTACAAGAATGAGCTCAAATAGAGGTATCCACTTAAAAACTTGGATGACAGGATAAAGATTAATCACCGACACTTGACATGCAAGGGGTTCATTAACAGGAAAATCATCCCAAATCTTCTGCTCCCCTTATAGTTATGAATACAGGTAGTCATTTCAGCCTTTTAGCTTCCAAATATGTTACAAAGTGCTGGAATCTGAACACTTGGTTTCAGATTTGTGAAAATATTTGTTCACTTTTTATTTGGTGATATCTTTGGTGTTGCTGTTGGTCAGCAGATGAAACAATTCGCTAATGAAAATAATCTTCAGCTATGATAATTAAATAATCTTTTAAGAAATGTTTAAATCAAAAAGGACAAACATTTGATGGTTTCAGCTTATCAAATGTGATAATTTGACAAATTTCTCTGTTTTATTTATTTGAGAACAAAAAATGAGAGACATCAACCTAGGCTGTACAAAATTATTTTTCACCATTTTATAGGCTACACAATTAATCGAGAGAATAATCATCAATGATCGATAATGAAAATAACTGTTGCAGCCCTAGTAGGTGGTTCGCCTTGTGTTAATAAAAATATGAACTGCACTTTCTGCTGATAGATATGTAAACCTTACTCAAGGCTTTGTGTTTGGAACAGTAAATGAATGAATGAATGCCATGAAAATGTCAGATTATTGCTTAGAAATCCTCCAAAAACATTGTGACTATAGCAATTGCATCCAGCTGCTGAATATCTCCTCACATTTAATGGTTGGAAAAATGCAGTCAAACTAATACTCATACGTGTCATAGCTTGACAGCACATGGAGTGCAACAAAGAAGACCGGAGACATGATGACAATTGTTCACATTTCATTACATTTTTGTTTCATTGCTAGTAAAAAGTATTTTCCTCTGCAGCTTGCTGCCATATGACAGTGACTGTTTTACTCTGGTTTGATGATGGAGGATTTGATTGGTAGTTTCTTCTTATTTATGTCCGCCATAACCAAACGGCCGGTCAGAGGCAGGCCGGCAAATAGCAGGGACATTGTGTGTGTGTAATAATGGAAAATTGTTATCATATGTTACTTAGTGTGTCTGTGAAGGTGAAACATACACCCGCCCTCCCCTTTCCCTTCTCCCCTCCTCACCCCTCTGTCTCCCTGTGGGGCTCAAATATCCACAGACCAGTGTGTTTCTGGAATGAGGGATCACAGAGAGGAACCTGCTCACCGTCCAGCGGCTCAAAGATAATCTTCCAAATTAAAGCGATGTGGATGTACTTCATGTTGTACAAGATCAAAACGGTCCAAGTGACAAATGAGAAAAAGCTACATGGACATATAAGCAGATGTTTGCAAATGAAGCTAACATTACACAGAGACCGCTGTTAAGGCTCAATGGTTCATATGAAAACTCTGGTCAAACTAGCTGCACTTCAAATCATTCACCAAGGGTTTAGTCTGATGCAATTGCTGAGCGACCATAAAATTGCACATTGTTCGTCTTTTACTGAATTTCTAAAGGCCAGGCGTATAAAACTGTTCAGTTCTTTCCAAATATTTCACCTCCTCCAAAACTCTGAGTGGCCTCTCACTTCCCTGTGTCATTGTTACTGGCTTTTGAAAATGTAAACCTAGATTGCTGCCCAAGGCAACATTACATAAATCAAAAGAAAGCTGCTTTTGTTGAATCTGGCCTCCGCGTTGACACTCCCACGCTAATACTGTTTTTTCTCTCTTTCTTTTTGTCTTTCTTCCTCACTGACGGTTTGACACCACTTATAACAGCTCTTTCTTTTCTTTATTTTGGTGTGCTTGAATCGCTGTGTGTGTGTGTGTATGTGTGTGTGTGAATGTTATCTTCAGGTAACACCAGGCAGCAAGGCAGCCCAAGGTGACCTGTGTCCAGGTGACACCATCCTGGCTATCAACGGGGACAGCACAGAGCTCATGACACACATGGAGGCTCAGAACAGGATCAAAACCTGCACTCAGCAGCTCACACTCAACATCACCAGGTATGGAAACATTAGACTGTCTTTACCAGAAAAAGGACAACATTGGTCATTTGATCAAACCCTTGAATGATCTACAGTATGTGTCGATTTTTCTGATAAGCGACCTCTTATGGTCTTGTTAGCACGATCTTGCTGTAGCACCGCAAACCCACTTATGGAGGAGGTCGGTTGGATTGTTAGGCCTGAGATCTTTTCTTAACTTCAACTGAGTAGTTTTAGTCTCCTTAAAATTGAACTCCACTCATTTAAACATCAAAAGCATGTACAGGTCTTGGGAAATACGACTGCATATGTGAAAATCTTTTTTTAGAAAACCTTTTGTGGCTTCAGAGGAAACTGCGTGAAATCTGATGAATTGCCTCAAGTGATGTCACTTGAGGCAACGTCGTTTGGGGCCAAAGACTCAAAGAATGCACGGAAGATGAAATCTCTGGTTCTGCTGCATCAAGTTTGATACTTACAGTCCATCTTGATACTTTTAGAAGGCCAACAACCTTGTTTGTTGTTTAGGACATTTGGACACACACACACACACACACACACTCAGGAAAAAGTTCAAATGCACATGTACTGCACATGTTTACACTCAAAATCTTATACACAGTGCATATTAGACATAGCTACCTTGCAAGATTTTTTAGTTTACTACATCATTAGAGTGTAGTTTACTGTATGTTTACTGTAATTGCTTACAGACTTATGATTTATTAGTTGCTGTTTCTTTGGAATATGTACTTTATATTCAGCCCTTTTTCCACAGAGGATGACTGAATATCAGGCAATGTTAAACATTAGTCACTTTCTAATCAGTCGTCACTGCTTTGACCCTCAGCAGAGACTGCTTATGGTTTTTGCTCTTTGCCTCATTAAATGAATTGAGTTGAGAAACTTGACCGATGTTTTATGACTAAGGTCATTTACTGCCTTTCGTCCAGGAACACATATTGTTTCTATTTCTGGTGGGTCTGTTCAGCTTGGCACAGTCGAGTCATAGGGACAGATGACAGGTTTACACTAGTTTAAATGATCGACTTTCTTCTCCTATAGAGCGCTGTCAAAGTCAATAAGGCTTGTACATACAGTGAGTCAGACAGTGACCTTTACAAATGGACTTCACAGGTCAATATTGCGCATTTTACCACTTCATGAGGTGGAAAATGATCTTCTCCTCTTCAGAATCATTTTTTAGACCTGGTATGTGAGGATGGATGATTTGGCCTTAGGCAGAGGACAGGAGCAACATGTTTCTGTCAACATAGCACAGTGGAAATCATCCATCTAAACAGTTAATAACGGAGAGAGAGAGAGAGAGAAAAAGAGAGAGAGAGAGAGAGAGATGGGGGATAACCAAGGAAAAACTGAAATGTCAGTTGCTTCCCACATTTCTATTAGATGGATACTTTGGGTTGCCAGAGTTCTGGAAAGTGCAGAGCGCATCTGGCAACCTCTGAATCCTGTCCTCTCAGATGAAGAACACTGCGTGGTTTCAGCCTCGGTTACAAGTGACAACTGCCAACTGGTGCTTCAGCTCTCTCCTTTTAGGGCAGCAGACAACACAGCCTCTCTCCTGTAATGGTTTGGAGCATGAAGTTGACTTGCAGATGCAGTGGAAATAAGAATCACTCACAAGTAATCAACAACGATTCACACGTGAAGGAACTAAAAATTCAGACAGAGAAGCACTTTTCTCTCCCTCTCTCTGCACTGTATTTGTGTTTTATAGTATGCACTCTAGCATGCAACAGCCCTCCCTTTCCCCCCAGCCTGTTGTAGAAACCATCCATCCATATATCAAGCTGAGCGGCTGAGCGTTAAGTGGTTTGTCCACAGAGGGATAATAAATGTATTTAAGGATACCTAAAGTAGTATTCAGCGCAAAGACCAGGGGAGCTCCTCTACAGCAGCACAAGCACAAAAAAGGGCACTCCTACATTTAAAAACCACTTGTACCCTAATGTAGTCAAATTATTCAAAGTATTCAAAGTGTAACACATTAGAGAATGTAAGAAGTAATTTAAAGTGATAAAAAGCAGGAGCATCTCTGTGTTTCCCACTTTATTGGAGCTCTATTACATGTATACTACCAACTGACATACTCTAATCACAGATGCATTTTTTATGGCTATGCCCAAGTGGATAATTAAAGATGTCTTGTGCATAATTTTCCATGTTGTTTTAGGTGTAAATATTTTGTGTTTTTGGAAACTCTTTGATCTTGACCATAATTTCAACTGGTGTAATGTAAATGTTGTAATTCTTGTCAGCAGTAATGAGAGAGTAGAGTAGATGAGTAGAGGTTAAAATTGTTTCGGTGATTGACAGTGTTTCTGTTGTTGTCCATCAAAATCAATTCAAATTCAGTGACTTAGTTCTACCGTAAGGGGTAAAGGCAAAAAGCTTTTTATTGTATGGCTGAATGTCTTTTCCGTTATGTCAACACAGATATTCGAAGTCTTTTAACTGTCTTATAATTATCCCTTGTAATTGAATTATAACCACAAGTAATCCACCAGACAGAGCCATGCTGTTCATCCATCCTCCTTAATTTCCCATTTAAACTGACAAGATAGCAACACAGCAGAGGCAGAAAAGGCACATAACTGGTGGTATGTGACCTTTGCGCAGTATATTGGTTGAATAATTACAGCCTGAACTGCCGCGCTGCTGGACAGGAGGAGGGTACGGCATGTCTGACAGATTGGCATGCACCATTGGCTCCAGAGCACAGAGCTGAAATGAACTGCTGGTGAAGGGGAGGGAAGAGCAACTGGGGTTCAAGCAGAGGTTTAGGATTATTTGGTCAAAATGACAAGACAGCAAAGAAAAGTGTTTAAAAAAAGGGAGAAGGATAACAATGGTGGACAGAGAGAAAGGCAATGAGAGAAAAGGGGAAGAGCGGTGAATCAGAAAAACCTAGCAAGAAATCCACATGGGCTCTTCTCTGCCTCGAATGCTGTTTTACAGCCAGCGTTTTCTGCTGGGTGCATTGCTGGAAATTCAATTACACAGATGACACAGTGAAGCTCAGAGTTGAGTTTCACTCCATGAGATAGAGGACATACAGTACCACGAGTTTTGAAATAATCTTTGAATATTCCTGCTGGAGGTGGAGGGACTTTTTTCCCCACATTCTCCCAAGTCAATTATAAATCAAGGCTTGGTACGGGTAACGTCTAACCCAAAGCACTTTTTTCTCAGGAAAAGTGCTGCACAGGAAGACGTGTTAATAAACAGCAACGGTCACTATGATTGAGCAGACAAACAAAATAAAGCCACCCACAAAAGCCGGATAAAAGAGGTCACGGTTTTGGCTGCTACTGATGAACTTATGAAAATGTCTCAGAAATTCTATGAGCCATGAAAAAGCAGCCACATGGTAGTGTGTTCTCTGATTGGTGAATAAGGTCCAAGCCCTATGTTAATAATTATCCAGACAATGGGGATGTCATTTTCATATGTAAAAGATTAGGGAGTCGTTATTGAAGGAGATGTGAAATATGGGATTTGGGGATTATTGGAAACACTCCTCAGTTGTGGGCTACAGGAATAACTGAGGATTATTTAAGGGCAACCATTGATTTTGCAGTCAAAAAAGAAATGGGAGTGACTCAAAGAACCCATGCTGACTCACTAGAAAATAATATTTTAGAGGACAACAGTCCTCAGCCCTCATTAAAAGACTACGCCATAAAATACTCCAAACAGTCACAGAGTCATAGGGGGAGAAACAGGAGACCTGTAATTTTCTGTTGCTGCCGATGGACAAATATATGAGTCTACACGTCTGCTGTGAACCAAAATTACAGTACACTGGATGCATCTGAGCTTGAGGTCTTGTGTAACACAAGAATGTTTCTTTGTAATGTCTTCGCATTTATTACTTTCATAACTCCCATTTTTCATAATTCCTATTATGGAGCATTTTATGAGTGCTCTGCATCGGGGGATTTCTGGTAAGGTGCCCCAAGAAGCTCATGAAAGTTGAATAAGAAATAAAGAGGCTTCATGAAAATTGGGCTGACAGCTGCAGTTGTTTGTGTGTATTTTTTTTCCCCCACAAAGAAGTCACTGAAGGAAAATTCAACCTTAAAGTGCTCATGTATTTTTAGATATTATTAATCAGTGCTTCCCTACATTTATTTTTGCTGTGATTAACTGCTTTGTCTTTTACTATGGATAGTGATTTCTTACATTTTCCAAAATACCTTTCGATAACTCCAGGAAAATCTGTCTGAACTGCTTAGTTTTATGTCATACACTTAATCAAAACACATCTTGTAGCTGCATTACATGGCCAACTGAGGCTAAGGAGAATACAGTACATACTCTTAGACTGTTCTGTATAATTCTATAAGTAATTTTTCTTTGATGTTGGGGCAAAGATTCCAAAACATAACGTAACTAGTTTTTTTTAAGCTATGCTATGATATTGGCATGGCTCTAGGGATGGCAATATTGGTCACTTTGTCCACCAGTTTGGTCCATACTGAAATATGTCAACAACTATTGGATGGATAAAGACCAAATTTTGCAAACCATTAATGGTTCCCAGACTCACTCCCTTGGCTTTTCCTCTAGTGCTACCATGAGGTTGACATTTATGGTTTTGAATGAAATGTCTTGACAACTATTGGATGGATTGCCAAAAAGTTTGGTACACACATTTGTGTCTCCCTCAGGATTAATTGTAGGAACTTTGGTCATCCTCTCGCTTTTCATGTACCGCCGTTATCAAGCCAAACCTTTAATTTGTCCAATACTTTGGTTTATGACCAAATAACTGGGGACATTCCCATCAGCCTCAGCTGTACTTTGTGTTTTGTGCAATGCTAAACTAAGATGTCGAACATAGTAAACATTATATATGCCAAACGTCAACATCATAGCATGCTCATTGTGGCCATGTAATCATGCTGATGTTAGCATTTACTTAAAAGCACCAGCTGTGCTAATGTACAGCCTCACAGAGCCAATAGGATGGCTGTAGACTCTTAGTCTTG